GTGCAACCCAGACAGTCAGACTGGATGATCTTAGAATCATTATATTTGGAAAAAACCACTATTATACTAAACCAAGCCCCAACCAAGCAGCACCACAATGACACGTAAAAGCCACAGTTGTCAGGAGGTCAATCACAAATATATCTTTTGGGTATAAAGCTAACTCATCTGACAAGGCTTAGACATGTCACTGTTCAGAAGCAGGTACCATACAAGGCAGGCGACACAAAAAACAGCCATATACACAACAACACCTGTCCTCTGGGGAACATTTCTCATTTACAATTTTGCCTGTTGACTCCTCCTAGTGTCATACCATTGTCTGTAACCAATAGCTTTCATGATTATGCAAAATACGTAAGCATTTTGCTTGATGCAGTACGCTTCTTATAAGGATTCTTCATCACCTTTACAAAGGGATTTACAAAATGGGCTTCTAGACAACAGGAAACAGAAGTTAAAGCCTAGAATGAAAATAAGAGAAAACAAAACCACAGATCTCTTTTACCAGTGACGCTCCTGCTTTGCATTCAGTCAATGAAACAAAAACATTATTCCTCTTACTTTTGGACTACACGAGGAAACATTTGTTTCCCAGTGCCATGGGATTCTGCATGTAAATTGTACAGGAAAATATCTTAATACATGCACTGTGCTCATGAAATAATTTTTCAGTTTGCTAGCTTTATTTTAATTACAGTAACTTGAGGTTACTGCTTTCATTTTCAAGAACAAGCCAAGGTTTTGTTATTTGGACTCAAGTTCTTAACAGTACCCTTTGTACTACCTACATACATAAAAACATAGCAGAGTTGCACAGGTTTTTAGCATTCAAGGTCAAACCACCACATTTTCAAGTGGCGCATGCTGCCTCTGGCAGAAACCATTAAGCAGAATTTCAGAAAATAAAACACCCATAATGCAGACACTTTGTTTGTCTGTGCATTTTCTCAAAGTGGTTCTGCCATCAACAAGCCTACAATACAACCAGTAACACAGTTAGGTACTATTAAAAGTTCTTTGACTTTAACAAGAGCATACTGAATCAAGGAAAGTATCAAAGCCAAGTTTTGTTTCCTTCCCCCAGTGGGTCATGCTAACTTGGAAATTCCACTACAAATTACCACATCCAATCCTTCTCCTATACATTAGAGTCCCTCTTCCCATACAGAGAGGTTCAAGGTGAGATGCCTGTGATGTATAGCTCACAAGCCTTGCAGCTTCCTATTTACAAGGCCCTCAGACAGAAAAACTGGTGCATATGAATCCAATACAGGCAACACTAATGCATTAATGACTGACATGTGGCAGAGATGGAGACACACAGATGCAGCTTGACATTAATGGAGAGATTTGCCTGTGGTCATGCACAAAGAGGGAGGAAAAAATAGACCTACCTGCCTCGTGTTTTAACCTGAGTATGAAATCATACGTCAGACAAGATTAATTAGATGCCTGGAGTTTTATTCTTTTCCGTTGATAGAAAAAGCACATTTCCATAATGTGAGGAAGCATTTATGTGGATAGCAAATCAGGTTGACATTGAGGGAAGGTTTACTTTATTGTGAATGCTCGCTGTGTGGTGCTTGTCAGTGCAATTACTTTCTACTCAAGTGGTTTGCTTTTTAACATTTTATTATCTTAACAATAAAAACCCTGGAAGCAATAATTATTTATTATGCTAATTCCTTAGCTTTTTTGTTATGAATTTCTGGAAGACCATTAGAACTTGCTGTTTCCCAGAAATAAGCCAGATTTATTAATATTCAGCCAATTAAAAAAAAAAAAAACAACAAAACAGAAGGCAAAAAATCTCTGTACTGGTAATTAGTTACTAATCAGTCAATTTGTACACTTATCAGCTTCCCCATAAGTTCTGTTTTCATTTATTTAATACCCCACATTTCTAACATCAATCTGATTGAAAACAACTCCAAAACACTAAGTCCACTGCAGTATTTCATAAGCAGTGATTTAAGCAGTCAGAGAGGCAGCAGGCCTTTAGCCCATTCTCAAAACACACTACACTCAAGGACTGCATTTTAATTATGGAAACCTTTTAGAACATCCCTGTTTTATTAACAGTAAGTGAAAGACTATAAACAAGGCTTCAGTATGCACCACTTCTCTTCAATCCTGCCTAAGCCCTCAAGGGGAAACAGCTCCAGTGCGCTTTCATTTCTCCCCCCAAGCATTCTCATCTCTGAATGCCTCTTCTCACCAACTTTAAAATTCATTTAACATAACAACTGCATAGTTATGCTTTTTCTTTTTTTTTTTTTTCTTCACCCTTCCAAAGCATACAAGTGTTCCCTCCTCTAGGAATAAACACCAACTCTCTAACTCCCGCCACACAAATGCAATATAGAGACCATAAGCAAGTCTAAGCAGAAAAGCACAGCAACTAAATGTACCTTGAAATGCTCTTACTTCACAATGCTTTTATAATGCCTCTTGTCCATGCACAAACTGTCCCTGTATTTCACACAGCAACAGAGTAGTAACTGCAGGAAAATTCTAGAAGCAATTTTCTGCCTAATCCAGCCCAGGCTCCTGAGAAACACAGCATAGCTCAAGCTGGAAGGGATCCACCAGGCTTCCAAGTTCCACTCCAGCCTCCAAGATGAGGTTTCCAAGGGTTTGAAATGCATCTCCCCTGGCTTCAGATAACAATTCCAGCTCCCAAGCTGCCATGCACAGGCTAAGAGCCAGTTTTTTCCATCTCTCTCTACTTCTGAAACAGAATTTTTCTGTACCTCCCACTGGGAGATTCTACCTGTGGCAAGAGAAACTTCCCTATTAATGTGTAATACATCCCATCATTAGCATTGTAAAGCAGGTAATTATCTCACAACTGTCCTCCCACCCTCTTCCTCAGAGTTAGAAAACTTTATTTACAAGGAGAAAAAAAAAACAACCTCACATGTAATTCAAACTGTTCCTTCCTGACTCACATCATGGCTCACTGGATGGGTATGACCCAAAAGCACACAGGCAATTTGCTCTTCTGAAGTCCTGCAGATAAAAGCAGGCAGCTGGACTGTTCCTAACCTGAAGGAATGGGCATACAAGGCAAGTAGGCTTCTGGTGGGAGAAACATAAGGAAAAATGCTGAAATGGGGTGGAAGAAGAAGCAAGCTTTACTACAGCAGACGCTCTGTAAAAAGAGCAGGTAACAGCAACTTTTGTTCACCAAGAGATCGTAAAATCTACATCTCCACACACAAAGATGGTGTAATGCTATACTGCAATGGAAAGCACAGTAATGATAGAGGAACAGCAGAGTTCTAGGCTACAGCAAGTGAGGACATGCTTAATGCAGTAGCCATGAGCTCAGAAACAAAGGAAAAAAATCTGCTGACCCTTGAAAGGGCTCAGGTAGGCAGAGATCTCCCTCACATCCATTGCTAACTCTTAATCGGAGTCTGGGAAGGGGTGGATCCTGTCTCCACCCCTTGCACCTGAGCTCCCCTGGGTTGACCCTGCCTTCCCACCAGGTGCTCAATCACTGGTTCAAGCCATGACTTAGCATCGCTGCTACAAATGGGAACATCCTAATCAAGATAAACAACATGGACTGGTTGCAGACACCACCATTGTCCAGTTGGGTGCATGGTTACCAAGTTCAGGACAGATTTTGTTACAGCTCTAACAGCTGTATGGCAGTGTCCTACCCACTCAACATCACCAGCAGCTTGTGTTGAGAGTTCAGTGAAGGGTGTATCTACCAAAAACCATATTCTGAAATTGAGCACCTAACTCAAATCACTGAGTAGCTAAAATCATCACAAAGTGCACTGATGAAGATGGTTACTCTCATGACCACTAGACTGCCGAGCTGAATACCCACAGCACTTTCTTCTCGCTGCTGCTTACTCCAACCTGTTTCCCTCCTCGCCCCAGAAAGGTCAAAAACAGTGGCACAAACTTTACTCGGTGTTTAATGGAGAAAGCTTTTTTTTTTTTTTTATTACGTTGTTAGCCATTTTTAGATGTGCCTTGAAGAAAAGGCATCACATCTGAAATTCTTTAAAGAGTACTAAAGAGAATATAAAAATTTGAAGCAATACCATCCAAAGACATGAGATCCATATTCTATTCCATATATCCAGGAAAGGTACAACAGTGCATTCAAGCATACAAACTCTCCAAATTAAATAGGTCACTTAGTTACTTGTTTCAGTCAGCAGCTACAGAGGAAGCTGCTATATATTCTGTGTCAGTGCCACCAATAGGAAGAAACCAAAACTTGAGGCCATGGTTAATGTTGTAATAAGGGACACCAGTACTTGTTAGTGATGTGACATAACACTGGTCCTTCTTATTCGCTCCTCCTGTATTCACTGAAAATATGGCCTGTTGCACAAAATGAAAACCAAGAAAAGAACCCCAGGAATGTGCAGTTATCACTTATCATCCTTCAGGGAATGAGGGAGGTGTAAGACATGCCAGAAATAAATAAAACCAACCAAGGTCAGACTAAGAAGATGTCCAAGACTACTTAACAAGTATCGCAGAAGAGTGACCCACTGAATCAAGTTTGTTTTAAACACAGAGTCAAGAGAGCAGCCAAGTGACATTCCATAACCAGTATCACCAACATGCTTTTCTCAGTCCCTCCAGCAGCAGAGCACAGGCCACAGTTTGCTTTCACTTGTAAGGGTACACCTGAAATGGACTGCCTCACAGGAGTCAGCCCTGAGGCTGGAGAGTTGCTCCAAACTCCACAACAGGCCCTACATTTCCAACAGAGACCTAGTCTGTGCTAATATCACCCACCCCATGTCGGGTACAAAAAGGCACTGTTGTAGTTCAACCCAGCAGCAGCTCAGCATCACATGGCTGACGCTCAATGCCCCCTGAGTGGAATGAGGGAGAGAACTGGAAACAAAATAGAACTCATGGGTTGAGTTAAATACCAATCACTAAAACACAAGAGCAAAAAGGAAACTAAAAGGCAACAATGACCATATATATATAGCTGCAATAAGATTACTCACCACTTATCGATGCACAGCACAATGCAACACCCTGCCAGCAATACAAAGCTTACCCCACAGACTGATGCACAGCAGCCCCCAAGCAGCAAGCAGGCCCATTCAACTGCCCAAAGCTTTATACCCTTCTGCATGGTGTCAGGTGGTACAGTATGACCCCCAGCCTAATTCAGGCCCATGTGCTGGCCCCATCCCACCCAGAGGCTCAGCCCGGCCCCAGGTGTTCTTCCATCACCCAGCAACATTATTAGCATGCTATTAATGCTGTTTCAGGTTAAATCAGGACAGACAGCAAATGGGCAATTATGCCAACGCACACCTAAGCCAATGAGAAACAGCAGCTACTTTGGTCTCAAGGTATACTGCGCTTGAGTAAGAGAATGCAAGAAAGGTAAAACATACAAAAAAAAATCCCTTAAAAAAAAAAAAACTAAAAAACAACACTAATCTCCCAAAGTACCTCAATAAGCACAATAATCAGTGTGGGAGCTGTACAGACCCCTACCCAACAACCACACCTGGAGGCGGTTACTTCTAAGCAGGGCTTTGGGCTGCTCTGTTCACAGAGATGTGATAACGCAGCGTGGATAACATTCTGAAAGGTCCTTCTTTCAGAACAGACACTAAGCTTTGTATTAACATATTCTATTTGTGTCACATTTAGTGATACAGTTCCTGGAAAAGTCTCTTTAAAATACAAAGATGATGTGACAAAATATATATCCTGTTACTTTCATTTATTGTCTATACTTCTCAAATGCCATTAGCTTACAGCAGTAAGGAATAAAGGTAGGAACATTTAAGTCTCCGGTAACTTCAGATGTAAAAGAAGAAGAGTTCCTCACAGCAGTTTAGAGTGCAGAACCACAGAGAAAAACTTAATACCACTGGGAACATATCTCATGTATATACAGGAAAATATATTGAGTAAATGTGAACATTTTCTCATAAAGAACATGAATTGCCATGGGTGCAACATTCCTACATCAAAGGCACAAGAGTTCACAAGCTTACAGACCAACATAAAAATTTATTGAAAGGGATGTCAAAATCCATTAAGCCCCACTTTGTTTATTTATTACTGATCCATCGCTGGAGGCAATGGGCCCCGTCTCCAGCTGGGCTGCATTAGCAGGCTGACTCCACGCAAAGACAGAGCAAAGAGCAAGAGCCACCTCAGGTGACCCAGCTGAGCTTGCAGCACAACAGCTGAGAAAGCGCTCATCACTCAACAGCACAGCTGAGTGACTGCCCATCTCTGGGTGGGCTGTGAACTTTTTTGGAACTAACTTTTGTAACTCACTCCACTTACATTATAGAGTTTGTATTCGTCTACAGAATTGTGTTGCTTTCATGTAACCGAGACTTAGGGTCTATTCTCAGAGCCTCCCTGCTTCCAACTTCTGACCCCATCAATGATGGAGCAGGCAGTGACAGAGCTCAGCTGCAGCCAGGAACACTTCCCTATGTCTTTGAAGAGGGGAGAATGAACCCAACCAGGATTCAGTTTCCCAAAGCTTTGTGATCTAATTCTACACAAAAGGCTTAATAAGGTTTAGACTCATAATACAATTAGTAATTTAGCTCACAAATTAGACTATCTATTAACACTCCAGCAGCGACAGCAGCCATATGAGGATTAAGAAGAAATCTTTCACTCCCAATATGAAGAAACAACTTGCATGCTTTAATAAACCTCTTCGGCATCTGCCCAAGAGAGCACACACTGTGCTGTACGCAGCTGTGAGCATGGCTGGCATCCTGTTCCTATATTGAACCTTCATCAACAGGAACCACATCGATGTATTGCACATTCCACACTAAGTAGGAACTTTCAAGCTCATCTTAAAGCACAATTTAAACTGGTAGAAAGAAATACGAACTTACACTATTGTTGCTCCATCTTCAAGTTAGCACAGAGCACGTTTCACGTGCATTTACATGCATTAGAAGTGCATATAAAAATAACAGCCAAAATTAACCTGTCAACATTGTATGAAATACACATTAAGCCAAAGCACCAATACAACAATATTTAATTGCAGGAGTTGAATAAAGAGGCAACATTTTTTCTAAACGTTTGTATACAATGTTTATTCTGTATATATTAAGAAAGGAAGCAGACTTATGTGACACAAGTTTCCGCATTTTCCTCTCTGCCTAAACAGAAGATTCAGAGAAGAGCTGATATCTCACATAACACTTAACAGCACTTCAACCACAAGGAAAGGAGTTCTAAATGAATTTCTCTGAAGGCTGTTCATGTCCCTTAGCTGCAGCACTACAAAATGCTGATATTGGGCTGTTCACACTACTTGTGCAGTACCTGCCCACCTGTACTTATTACGTCATCAGAAGCTTTTGGGAATTATTTACAGCATGCCCAAGACTGACTGCATTCATTTTTAATTTTTGAGCCTGTGTTTATATAAATAGTGACAGCACTAATAGTGCCAAGTGATTCTCTTTAGCTTGAAGAACAAGAACAACAACAATTTACTTCACACTCCAATAAAAACCATTAACACCCAAATATTATTATGAATAACGTCCATCTGGTCTGAAATCTAGATCTGGCTGCAGTATCTCATTCTCCACATGCACTGCCTGCTGTTGCTGCAAAGTGCAAAGCAAAGCAAAACCTCACCCCTGCTCACTTACACTATTTACACATAAGCACATGCTTTCCTGGCATGTGTCACAACATATGCATGGGACCACTCTGATCTAATCTGCCACAGGAGAAAGGGGAAAAAAAAACTACCACGCATTCTTGGTATGAAAAATAATCAGGCAGTCAGAAATTCTGACCCTAAGCCCTGTTGTAGGTTATGTGCCCTTACCTAAATGGGAATATTAATCTCCAAACTGGGAAGAAAGAGGGGGGCAGAGAAAGGCCGCTGTGCCTTCTGGTGTGTGGAACATGGTGATGAGGGGCAGACAGTAACATGGAGAAGGAGTCAGAGAGGGTGTGAGAGGTGGTAGCTGAGCAATACAACCTTAGAGGTGGCCCTGTGGTTAACAGCTTTGTTAAATATGTGTGTTATTTGCTGCAGAATAGATGGTGTTAAGAGTGCAATTTTAGACAGAACTGAGAGCAGGTAAGAGCCCTCCCTCTTTCTCTGCACAAAATTCTAGAGTACAGAGCTCAAGCAGATTACTGTAATTGGCCAATTCTTTCTTTTATTGCTAGACCACTGCGTAGAGTCAAAGCACTGAAATCATGTGAATGGGGCTACTGGTGAATATCATGTATTTGTTCAACGGCAGTTTCTAGAATACAGATCTGATTTTTCTGCAGTTCCACTTCACAAAGTCTGGAAATGCACATCTTCTGTCACACATGCCAGAATTAACTTTTTACGGCTATTAATCTAGCACAGCACTCTGCAGACTATGAAGACTACCAGAGTTCTGGAAATGTGAGATTTCTCACTTACAGTGAGCGGTTCCCAAAGCTCCTGCCATCCACCCACCATAAGTACAGATTTGAAGGGAACAAGCCTGTCAGATGCTGCTTCACTGAAGCAGATTTACTGTGTACCAGTTGAGAAAGCTGCGAGCCTGCATTCATTTTTGAAATAGAGATCCTCACAAATATGGACAGTTTCCATTACAAAGTCTTCAAGTTTGGGCTACACATCAGAAACTGACTAAAGTTTTGCAACAAACACAACAGAACTGACAGGCGAGCAATAGCTTTCAAAATGCAAGCTTCCATGATGCAACTGAGTGTGTGCCCAAACCTCCTGAGTAGCTCCTGTCTGACACCAGAAGAAGCACACGGCTGCCTTCAATTTCCATTCCTCACCGATTCAAAACAGGTACCTCCTGAGGTAAGAATTTAGATGTTCAAAGACTGAATGTTTCTCTGTAAGAAATGAGAGAAGGCATATCAAAAGCAGAAAGTGAGTGTGCATCAGTTGAAACAGACTGACTCTCACTGAAGCCACCCTGGTGACGCAACCACACCAATCCCTATCTTTACTCTAAACTTCTCCATTTAAAAATACAACAACTAAGGCTTCAGTCCTACTGCCAACTCAAGCTCCTATCCACATTCAAGACCCCAAGCCCACTATGTGACAGAGAGTGGTACAGCTGAAAAAGGCTGAAGTGTGCACTGTTTGCTAGCAGATCCATCGCTTCAACCCACACACACAGTCATATGCTTGTCTACACCTGCACACACAACAGAGGTAGCTGAGGAATATTATTTATACGGGGTAATTTCAATGTCATTTAACCTCTTGTCTGCAGCTGTGTGAAGTCCCTAATGTGGGTAACATTCAACTTCCCAGTAGTCAGGATGCAAAGAAATAAGGTTCTAGTGAACAAAATGACATTCTGTTAAGGGTTTGTAGAGGAAAGATTCAGCTCTGAAGTTTTCACAAGACTTTTAAAAATAAATAAATAAATAAAATCCACTTCTGCTGTGGAATGCATATTTTTTTTATTTGTGAAGAATATATTTCAACTTTTCTTGGGCTTCTGAGCCCTACACAATTTCAACACATATTTGTCCTAAAGGGTGTGTTCTTTCCTCAAACATTGAAAGCAAATAAGACTCAGAAAGTGCAATCATTTCCAAATGCTGAACTGAAAATGCTAGGCTAATTCACATAAATCCTTAACTAGGCTAGATGTATGTAGGAAATTCTAACAACAATTCTCAGTGTAAAAATAAATAAAACACACCTCATGAGCTTGATGTGTGTGGTCTTCAACCCACATGCTTTGCTATCACTATAAACACAACATAGTCGTGCTGGGCAATGTACAGGCTTCCCATCTCATTTCCAACTTCTGAGGTTTTTGAATAAATATTAACTTAAATTGCGTTTAGTGTTGTTGGTTTCTTTTAACAATCACAGACCCAACCCAAACAGGTTGTTTTCTTATTCAGGAAGGTGCTCACAGCAGAGAAAGGTGCTTTGAGAAGTTCTGAGCTAGGACTGAATCAAGATGACATCTCTCAGACACAGTAAAGAGGGCATCAGCTGCACGGTGACTTAAAATTATTACTGGGACAACAATTGATCTTACATAGCTGTGAAATTACTTCAGGAATAGCTGCCTCTGCAGAAGTTAAAAAGAAAAACAGCTGAAGAGATGTGTTATGTAAAGTGCTTATATTGCATTGTATGCAGCGCTTTGTAAAATAATCTTCATCTACAATTCAGAAAATGGAACATTAAAGGAAAAAAAGGCTATAGTAGTTCTCAGCAATTAGCATAAGAACTACCCCACTGAGTACTACACTTTCTGTGAATGTCCACAACTATCTTTATCTCCTAAATATGTGACAGTATTTAAGTACACCATCGACTTTTTGCGGAAGACTGGAGTTGTAAGCGGCTCCCAGTGGCTGCTATAAATGATCTCCAAATAGAATCACACAACATCCCGAGCTGGAAGAGACCCAGAAGGACCACCGAGTCCAACTCCTGGCTCCACAAAGGTGTCATGACCACTGCCTGGGGGAGCCTGTTCCAGTGCCTGAGCACCCTCTGGCAAAGCACCTTTTTTTGATATCCAACCTGACCTTCCCCTTTCACTGCTTCATGCCATAAAAATAATGTTTACCTAAGAAAATGTAGGGGTTCTTAAACATCAGCATAAATAAATAAATAAATAAATAAGACTCTTCAGTAATGGTCAAAACTCACCCTCTTTCCCCCCCCTCTTTCCCCCTCCAAAAAAAAAAATTAGAAAAGATTAACTATGAAGATACCTGTATCACAGTGAAATGCCAGAGCATATACTTAAATCCAGCTTCCCACTAGGCAGAAGATCTGATCACTAAGCAACTGGCTAATACAACAGGAATTAAAATCTACATCTGTCTTCTGCATGCTGTGCTCCAGCAGTACGCTTCATGTTCCACTATGTCATCCCAACATGGAGCCAGAAAAAACTTCCAGGCTCAAAAAGTTCCACCGGGTGAGGAAATCATTTCCCGGGTAAGATTATATAGGACATCTTAAAGCACTGAAGGAAAAGAGATCTTACACTATCAAAATACCAACAGCTTCCAAAAATTGTAATCCTCAGACATTGTTGATACTGAATTACACCATTTGATAGAAACACCACAGTCATTAGAACAAATGACATGCAGTCCTGTACGGATATGCAGAGTTAAACCTTGACACAGATACATTTTCTCACTCGTGCAAGTTTGTACTCAGTGTGCGAGCATATTTCAAGCAGACTGAGAAGTTGTTAGGAAGCACTGGACTTCTTGCAGTGATTTTATTTACTAGAAGGATGCAAGAGGGAACAGATAATAACGAACTCCTATTCAAACAAAACAAATTCACTAATCCCTTAAGAAGAGAGAATAACTGTACCAAGCAGCACAGCAAGGACAGTCAGATCCAGGGCCTAACACAGTTCCTGGAGATGGAAGTTGATTTGCATGTCTGTTTTTAATTTTTAGCTGAACTGGATGTTAAACCTGAAAAAAAATATGAACTTGAAAATACTACAGGTGAGACCCTTTGTAGGTGTAGGACAACCTGAAGCTGTTTAGGAAATCTCAGGCTCCGCTTAAGATAGGATCTGGTACTATTCTTTTTCAAAACTGGAGGTCTGTTATCCTCTACATACCCTCAGAAGCTACACAGACTTAGCAATCAAAATGTTAAGATGCGCATGCAGATGACCACTTCTGTGGTCATGAAATGCCAGATAAGCCATGGATAAGGGATTGGTTAACCTCAAGTGCGGAGGAAAAAGAAAAAATACACTCCCTTCAGCCCCAGTACACCATGAAAAATGCAACAGCCCACTAAAGGGCAATAACTCATCAACTTTTTAAAACATAAACATATGAACTAGTGCTTAAATTATAAGCATACACGCAAGTATAGAAATGCACGGCATGCACAAGAGTTATTTACTCAGCTTAGCCTACATTCACCGGAAGCAGAGATGTGAAAAGCCACTCTATTCATTTACCTGCAAGAACAACTCTTTTACAAAACCTTAAGGCACTACTGGCCCACTATCCATCCACTTGGAAGTGCACAGAAACCCCTGTAATATCCTCCTCAATCTTACGTTACAATATTGTCAGCAAAACTAAAAAGCATTATTTCACCTAACATAGCTACCCTTAAGATTCAAGCTAATAACACACAATCTTTCTGAAAAGTTTTCCAAACCCAGTGTGCCATAAACCTTGTGGGGTGGGAAAAGCAGCACTGCCCTCATACAGGCATGTGATGCTTTATTTCACTCCCCTAAAAGATGGAAGAGCTACAGTGATGAAAGAGGTAATTATCTATTAGTTATTCTGGAGCAAAACCACATCTTTTGTGATTAACAAAGTAGCACTGTAAAAGATATTTACAATAACACTTGGAGATTAAAAAACAAAAAAAGAAAAGAAAGGGTCTCTTCTTCAGAGATCCTGACTGCTCTTTAAATCAGGGCAGACTACAAATATCTAGGGGAAAAAGAGAAAGAGAAAAGAAAAAAGCTTACGGAAGGAATGTTGGTTTTGCACCATTCCACATGGAAAAAGAAAAACTGAAGGTTCATTAACATCATTACACTTAATCATATGTGTAAAGATAATCAACCATTGCTATGTAAAGCCATCAGAAGAACTATTTAAGCCTTGCATGTATAAGGAGACAAGTGTGTTCAAAACTAAGATGGCAAAAATACAAAAATGGGAAAAATTATAAATCCATATATGTTTTCCAGATGCAGTTTAATTGCCTTGATAGTTCAGCTTTTCCTAGGACATTTTCCCTTCCAACAAGATACATCTCTTCCACTCTTTTACACCTTCCTCCCCAAACACTCGAATTCCAACCTGCCTTCAGCACTCCCTCCTGCTAACACTCCCGTGCTTTCATCTGAACAAACGTGGTCATTACTTCGTTTGCCACCATCGCTTCTTAAGTGGCAAAGGGTCAGGCTGAGTGAAACGGCTGAATCGTTCCTTTATTATTCCTCGCAGCTACTGAAAGTATTTGTCAGAGGTGTAACACCTTTATTTTTGTTGTTACTGCTCTCAGAAATGTGGGCATAAAAACATCATTCCTTCATTTTCAAAGCATGTATGGGGACTCACCCTCCTTAACTCCTCATAACACTGAAGGAAGTGATGTGGCTCAAGCAGCCACAAAACACAGTTACAAAATCAGCGCAGGGTTCCATCAACAGCAACATCATTTTTGAAACTAATCACTCTGAACAGAGAAGAAGCCTCCTCACAATGCATTAAGAAGCTATATACTCTCACAACACTCCAGCTTTGCTTTAAAACGTAACTACAGGTCAATCAAGATGGTTAAGATATAACCTTATCACACCTCTGCAGCAATAATCCCTTCATATAAACCGCTAGGAAAGTACTACCAATTTCTTTGCAACTCCATGCAGTTTGTTCTATTACAGCCAGCTTTTGTCCTTCCACTGAATACTAACAACGATATTGAGAACAGCATTTTTACACACGACAAAAAGTACATTTGTGTTACAAGCAAACGGGGGGGGGAGGAAAAAAAAAAGAAAAAAAACAGTAGATTAGAATTCTTAAGGGGACAAAAATTTCCAGACCTCCCAAGTTCGAAGCCCAGCTTTCAGCCCTGCCTCTTTTTACACTTAGAAAAGTGGATTTAGAGATGCAGCTACACCTAGTGATCAGCAGCAGATCACAGCAGGCAGACTCAGGAAGTGCTCCTGCGCTACAACAGCAGAAATAAATATGTGAGCACAGAGAAGGAAAGAGAGGAAAGCGACACAGTAATATTTCTTTTTAAAAAGTTTATTACTAAATTTATTATCACATGTTCCAAATTGTCTTTGGCTTCCTGAAATCCCTTTTAATACACATTAAATGAGAAACACACATTTGGAAATTATCAGCAAAAGCAAATGAAATAAAGATCTTTTCAATATTTCCTACCAAAACAGAGCAGAAGCAAAGTAATTCACACACACTCATACATTAATAAGCAATTTACTCCCGGTGAAATGTTCAGAACCATTCAAGTGAATCACAATCAAAATGCAACACATGAAACTCAGGATCAGCTCACAGGTCCCGACCCAACAACAGCACTGTGTTCCACCGGGTCTCTGCCTGTTATCTCCACCAGCTGAGCCCAGTGATGCAAAGCGAAGCCACGTCCCAGCAGCAACCTACACAAGTGCCTGGGCCACCAGCAACCCCCACGATACGGCACACTCAATGACCCACTCAGCATATGAGCAAGAAAAATAAATTCCACATATCTTCAGGTCAGACCCAAGTGATGTTAGTGAGACAGAGACCAGAAGCTTACTTGCTGTACCCTGACACCTTTTGTGATTTGCTCTCTAGCTGCCAATCCATCACTTCCATGAGCACTAAACAGATTATTTTCCATGAGCTATATGCT